TCCGATCTACAGTTTAATGATGACCTAAATCGGGTTGTTAAACCTGGTTTATTTTGTGTGTGTGTCTCTTTTAATCTTCTATGCAGACAGTCTGTAATGCACTGTGGTTTCAATGTGCAATAATTTGTACAATGGTTTTATTCCCAAATATGCCTTAAGCAGAACAAATGTTTTTTTTTCTATATAGTTCTTTACTTAAAAATATGTAATATAAATTTAAGGAGACTTCTATTTTGTATATTTGTAAACTATGACGTGAAAAAAATGAACATTTTGTCAGAGTTTGTATTTTGCATATTCATGCTGAAAATAACTTTTAAATAAACCTATTTTATCTGAGTGGCTTTTTCTATCTTCTTCTCCTGCACCACGATGCATGTTTACACAGGTACAAACCCCATTAAATTCAGGGGGATTTACTCTCAAATAAATTAATCTAGACTACAATCCTAGGCCTGCTGGCCAAGAAGTAAGTCCCGTTGAGATCATCAAATTAATAAGGATAACTGGAGGTTGTAAATCTGCCTAAACATGGTTAACTAGTCGTGGTATAAGGTTGGGAGAGGATGCTGATACATGGGAGCATGTTCCTTTAATTTCAGTGTGTGCTGGGTAATTCAGTAAAGAAGATAATTCAGTAAAGAGGAGGAAAATCTATCAATAAATGACAATATAAATGCCTAGCCTGGGTCAGAGCAAAGTTTCCTTTAGTCTAACACGCTAGCCTGATGTGTCTGAGTGGTTTATAAGCAACCACTGAAGGCAAATGGCTTTATTCTGTTTTGTGTTTTCTGTAAATGTAGAGATGAAATTGACAGTGGTTCTCAAGAGCTTTTTATGCACGGGGGGAAAAATCCTTACAACTGAATACAGTTGAAGAGCTGCATATAAACTATCATCTATGTAGATGTCAATGTGTCCATTCTGCAGTTCCCTTAAAATAATCCAGATAACTGACTGTCAATGTTCCCTCTAAGCTGTGGAGTCTGGTGAGCAAAAATTCTACTTTGTGAGCTACTGGCTTTATAGTTGTGAGCAAGCGATTTGGCTACTGCATCAGTTAGTTTGCTCTGGAGCCATCCTTCCTGAGCTAAGACAAAAATCTGTGAGCCGGAGGCTGAAAAACTGTGAGCTAGCTCACGCTAACTCAGCTTAGAGGGAACACTGCTGACTGTACCTCTGAGGGTGGAATGTGACATATCCACCACGCACTAGTGGGAAATGTATGGTTGAAAACATAATAAGGCACTGGGGTGAGGGAATCCATTGGCCAACAGTCTTTTGTAGTACCCAGTTAATACTTAACAATGTATACATCATTTTGAGTGTTTAAAACCCTTCGTATCTTAATCCTTACAACACTCTTGTAAGAGGTTAGTATTTATCCCCTGCCGGGGTGTGTGTGGCTAAAGCAATGGGACATTAATGATCTCCCATGTCTTGCTTTTTAATGAAAGCAGCTACAAGAAAGGAAAAACTCTAGGCCAGTGCTCTTTTTCCAATTTACATCACCTTCGTAAAAGTGATATCAGTACGGTTTCTCTACTGTAGCAAAAGAGAAACTTCAGGAGGGCAATTCAAAACAAGGGAAAAGGCACAGAGGCAAAAGATTAGTCCCATCACTGTTACCCTGATCAAATCTCCCCCTCCCTATTCTAACCACAGATCTCCTGCAAAAAAAAGTTAGTATAAGAAGAATGGTTTGAACCAGGGGTTTCTCCACTCCCAGCTCTTAGCCACTTACACTACAATAGCTCTCAGAGATCACCATGGAAAAATTAAGGGTCTGTCACTGGGATCTTTTTTGCAGAATCAGGCCCACAATACATTGCCATGAAAAGCTTCTTCAATAAGCTAAAGACCTACAAGGGAAAGGAACCATTTTACTGAGAAGCTCATAGTGTGTTTCTTAGTCGCTGATAAAGCAAGATACAGTAGAAAAATCTTCATTTCAAGTCTATCTGAGGAATGCTGTTCAGTGTAACTTTTGGGGTATGTTTTATAGGAATCTGATAAACTTGGCCAAGTTTCACAGCAACACTCCCGTTAAGTGCATTCTAAAATATTTCACTGGGCTTAAATAATTAAAAGGGCACCCTTGCTGGCTTGACTAAATTACTATTTGCGAGAAAAGGTTTGCATTTTAAAAACAAATCAGTTGATGTTCTGATAAAATCAGCAAGTCTTTTAAGATTAGCTAGGAGGAAAAGTTATATATTTTGAGCCTGCATTTGTTTTACCTAATGTTTTGTAGCCTAACCACTTTCCATAAACTCAGCATAACATACATTGCATTATTCCATCTCATCCCACTCACCCTTTGTGAGTGACCCACGATCACGTGTCTGCTTTTTAGGTTGAGTGGGGAGTTAAACTGGACAGAGAAGGCAAGCTGGGGGGGCAGTTTGGAAGCCATCCTCACAGTATTCAATGTGGTATAGTGGCTTAGAGTGTCGGACTAGGATCTGGAAGACCCAGGTTCAAGACCCCAGTCTACCATAAGAGCTTCCTGGGTGACCTTAGGCCAGTCACAGATACTTTGTTTAACCTACCTCACAGGGTTGTTGTGAGGATAAAATGAAGAAGAGGAGAACCATGTAAGCTGTTTTGCATGCCAACTGGGGAGAAATGCAGATTATATGTAGTAAATAAACAAACCTTTCTTCTCCGGGAGGTGGTAAAAAAAAAAATCCCTGTTCTACTGTCGATGACAATAATTCGCCGGAAACGACAATATCTCTAAGAAATCCTCCCCACACACATCCTTCGATTAGGTTTGCAGTTTAATTTTTTTAAAGGGATAACCAGATATGTATATGTGGTGTTTTAAAAACCTGAAGCATGGGGACAGGAGAAAAAAAACCCTGATGTCTTAAAATAGTATTTTATTTGTGGTTACATTTGTCAGTTAAACCACAAAGCTCAGTTCACACTGTCGCCAATGGACCTGCTGAGCGTTCTCTTTTTATATTACGCATTGCCTCCGATCTCTCTCTGATCCACATCTAGCATTCTGCCCAGTCAAACTGGCTCTTCATTGGCTGCTGTCAGGGAGGCTAGTAAGATTAGCTGAATAACAACAATAACAACAACCACAACGATGCCTCTCAGGGTTTCTCTCTCTACCTGGCAGAGTTGGATCCTTGCTTGGGGTAGATCAGAATCTTTTATGCCCCCAGTCACTTCCCCTCCCTTGGCTGGGCCCCGGCGATTCCCCTTTTACCCTAAGAGCTTTGAGGAGTAGGTTAGGCTGCGAGGTGTACCCCGATGAGCAGCCATCCTAATTTTGCAGCAGCAAAATACAACTGGAGTCCAGCGACACCTTAAAGATGGCATTTCACAACTCTTTAGGTGCCACTGGAATCCTGTTTTATTCTCAAGGATAATGAGTAATAAGCAGAGATTTGAAGTCTGGTATCCCTGGCCCAAATCTGTAACATCAAATAGTGTTTTGCTTTGTTGTTGCTGTTGTTTTTAAGAGGTACTTTGGATACCCCTTCGGACGTTTTTTAATTCTACTTGAGACCCAAGAGAGTTGCTGTGTAGGTTGATAAATTGACAGTCTGACCCTCCCCACTCTATCACCCCATCCTCCACACCATTGAGCTATTTCTTTCTTTAGAAGTAAGAAACATCAAATACTTGTTACTTGACAACAGACCTTCCAGATCTCAAAATAGTTTCAAACTGCATACACAAGCATACACAGGCATAATTTTTATATTTAATTTTAATAGCTGAACTGCAACTGGTAAACTCTTTAGCACCCCAACTAGGAGGCTACCCAGCAGGTTAGCCAGCATTCAAAATGGCCCTTCCAACTTCCCCTATTATATACAGATGCAATTTGCCAAAATGCCTTTAAAAAAAAAGACAACAAGCTGCTACAACATCCAGCAGGCAACATATTTAAATAATTCCATAAAAGAATGCAGATGGATGATCTATTAATATAGAGCTGGATGGAGAAACTAGTTTGAATGCATTGTTGGATAAGACACAGATAGCTATTTTGTTGCTGTTGTAAGCAAGAATCCACTTGCTGTTCACTTTAAAGAAGTTTCCTTTTTTAAAAAAAATCTGGAGACAGATGCTCATTAAAGTAAACTACATGCAGGTTATAATCTTGCTCTTGATGTATAATGCCCTAGCTTTATATTTCCACAAAAAATAGTATTTTATTGCATTTCACACAATCTTAAAGTAACACTTTGGTCTCTGTTGTTGAGTTTTGGCTTTTTTTTTTCCATCCTGCCAAAGGCTACATCTCTTTCTCCCCCCACTTAGAGTCTGACTTAGTTAAAAATGAAACACAGATCCAAGAAGTTCAATATGTTAAGTACTTGCTGTGCTTTTAAACTTTTTTTTTTTTTAAAAAGCTTCCACGC